AAATATATACTATATAATTGTTTATTATAAAAAATTTTTTATTTTAAGTATTCACTTATTATTAAAATCTAAAATTAGAATTGAAAAAGATAAAAGTAAAATATTTATTTATCATCAAAAATTTACTTAAATTAGAAATTTTGATAGAATTATTTAGCTATACTAGTTTTTTCAAAATTGTAAAATTTATACTATATTATTTTTATTAAATATTTGTAAATAAGTTATCATTTTTCATATTTATTTTTATATCATTAAATTATTATTATTTTTTTTTGATATCAGATATTCACTATATATATATATATATTTTTTTATACTTAGGTAATCTTGTCTATTAATTTTATTAAGAAAAAGCTAAATTAAGCTACAAGCAAAATGTTATACTATTTATAGCAAACTACTTTTCTAAAACTATTCAGAATTTACTCAGTTGTCTATTAGCATCTAAGTATGATCTACTGTAGCAACTATTTCTCTCATAAAAGTTTAAGTTTGTACTTACAAACTTCTAGCTTCTAGTTAATAAGAGGCTACTACTAGTCTATATTAAAATTATCTAGTTTGTTTTAAATCTTAACTATTCTTCTTTACTATCTGACCTTATCCATCTATTAACTCTACTTGAAGCTTCACTATATTTTTGAGTTATTAATATTTATTATCATACTTACTTTTTACTATATATACATAGCTTTTTTTTTCTTTTAACTAAATATATTTCTATATATAAATAGTATTAAAGTATTATCATACAAAAGCTATTTAAAAATTTATAATTATATGAAGAATATATATAAATTTTTTATTTATTTTTTAAATTTCAAATAATTACTAATAAATATAAATATCAGCAAGTATAAAACTATATAGTATATTATAGTACTAAGTAATACTTTGAATAATTAAATATAAATTTCAAAAAGTAAAATAATTATAAAGTTCTACTTAATTATACTTCAATAATAATTCCTACTAAAATAATTATATAAAATTATTAGTGAGTATAAATATTTTTATAAATAGTATAATAATAAAGTATTTTTAAATAAATACTTAAGTATTAGATCAAATATAATATAAGGTAAAAGGTATTAGAACAAAATAGAATTAAACAATTAGATCTGTTTAATTAATAAATCTAATAGTCAGTTCTTATTATTAAATTATAAAATTCAACTATTTGCAAGATTTTTAGTCATATTTCTTAAGTTAATTTATACATCAGAAAATTAATTTTAATACTATTCTGTGCAGATTTGCAAAAAATTAAATAATAAATTTAATAAAAATCTGTACAAATCTTTGGGTCTGCTACTGATAGATGCAAAAATTAAATACAATTCTGTATAAATCTATAAATTTACAAAATTTTACAGATTTTTACTAAAAATTTTATAAAAATCTGCACTTTTTTTGTATTTTTATAAAATTTTTGTTATATAATAAATATTTATAAAATATAAGGAGCAATTTTTTATATTTCCAAATTTATTATCCATACCTCTTTGTGAAATTGCAATTTTTTACAACTTTGAATAAAGATATTTTAGCATTTAACTAATCAAATTTGATAAAATTTTTTTATTTTAGTTTTACAGATTTGTAGAATTTAAACAAAAAAAAATTTATTGAATTTGGTTTTGTAGTTGTCAAGATATATTTAATTAAAGTTAGTAAACAGTTTAAAATATTTATTAAAATTGAAGTAATTAGATATTAGTAAAGAGTTATAGTTAGAACTAGAGCTATATAAGAACAATAGTTAGAATTTCTCTGATAATAAGAGAATTAATAAATATAAATTTGATACAAATATATTATTTTTTGATAATAATAATGAAATGATAATGATAATAAGATATATAGTATAAACAATATAGCTTTTAATAACAAAGATGCAGATTATTACTACAATTTAAGAACTACTTATAAAAAAAGAAAAGTAAAAAGTAAATAATAGGTTAAATAGATCAACTCTTTTTGTCAATTCTTTGACTACTTTTTTTACAATAATCTGATCTGCGAAAAATTTTTTCTGCTATAATAGACAATAATATTCTTCTTCTTGAGCTTTCTATAACATATTATGGGTAAATAACTTCCTTGTATAAGCTCTTTTTAGCTGTGTTATCTGAATATAACTCCTGAACACTATAGAAAAATAGTAGATTACAAGAAAAATTGTCAAATAGCTCTGTTGTTCTAAGTGATGCTTACTAGTAGTTTGCTAATACAAAGATAGCTAGTACAACAAGTATTTGTACTATTTTTAGTAAGAAAATAAGTAGCAAAATCTTTCTCTTCTAGAAGTAGCCTCCTCTAATATCATCTTTTGGAATTTTTCTCTAACTTGTTGGTATTTTTTAAAAGATTTGGCTTACTTCCTCTAAAAGATCTGCAATACGTATTAACAAAAGCAATTGGTATTAGCCTATTGTTTCTCATATCATAAACAAACAACAAATACATATTTGGCCAAACACATATCATAGGAAACTCAAGTTGTTGATATTCTCTTTGTAATATGGTACCTCGCTCCTTTGAAAATTTAAAAAATAACTTAAGTATTATATATATATAATTTTTACACTGTTCTAGAAGGAATATTAGTTTTTTTTATTTCTGTTTTTGTTGTTTAAAAGTTTTTATCTGTTAGCAGGTTTCTTTTATTCAACTATATTATATGACATATGCTTGACCTTGTATCTTTTATTATATATATAATTTTTATTTTCTCTCTTTGTAGCCTACTCACCTTGAATCAGTTTGGCACAGAGTAGAAGGTAACCAAGAGGTTTTTGACTAGGCTGTTAGCAGACTATCAATGAATTAGATTGTTTTGTATATTGAGCTTAGAGCTTTTCGAGAAGTAAACTTGCTAGTGAGTTAATTGTACTTAGAGCTATATAGTATCCAAGTAAGTTCAGAATTGTAATAATCATTCACTAGATATATTTAGTTGAGCTCATTTATATTGGTGATAGTTACTTGTATTATGATATAAGGATAAAGTTTCCTGCATATTTAGTTTAGCTTTTGTATTTATATGTATAGTTTAGCTATGTATGTTTATATTGTAATCAGTATTAAATGATAATAAAATGAAGGACAAGATCCTCTTGTAGGGAAAAAAAAAGAAATAATAGGTTAAATTAAAACTTTTAATACAACAATGATTTTAAATTTATTGCAGATTGTATAATTTATATGATTAATTATAATATTGATATTATATTTTAACTAATAAAATAAAGTTTTCTTACTGCATTACTATGATAATTTATATAACCTCTATGACTTGTTATAATATTAGTATAATTTATGACCAAGAAAATTTATATATTTTTTTTTTTTACTATCATTTAATATAACTATAGTTGTTAGATGAAACTGTTTCAAGTAAATAACAAAAGATGAAATATAAACTCAGAAAAGATGAAAAGTAATAAAACTCTGATAAAAGATGAAATCTCTAATAAAAAGCAAAACACTAAGTGAAAGACAAAACTAGCAAAAAACAAAATTTCTAGTAAAATAGAAACCTTTAGAGAAATAGAAATCTTGAAACTTTAATATAATACAAGGTTTTAACAAGAATAAAAAGCTAAGCTATAGTTGGTGAATAAAAGTTTTTGTTTTTTATGATGATATATCCTATATGTTATACCTCAGATGCATTTTTGCATCGAATTACAATTCATACAGGAGGGTCCTCCAAATTCATGGCCAGTTGAGCCAGAATTAACTAATTTTAGCTGAAATCATTTAAATTTACTAATCAGTTACATTAGTAAATTACCAGGTTACCTAAATCCTTAGTAAATTACCATGGTTAAGATTAATTTGGCCAGCTTTAAGATATAGTTTGACCAGCATTAATTCCAAGAGAAGTTCAGCTGTAGACTATGAATGAACATAAAAAATGAGCAAAGGCTAAACAAATTTTTAAGAGGAATCTGAAAGATTCTGATTCAACCAATTGCAAGATTTTCGCAGTAAATTTTACCTGATAATTTATTAATATTTTTAGTATTTCCAGTAACTAAAAAATTTATAAATTACAGTAATTTTCTAACACTAATAATGAAGTTAAAGACCACTCACTAAGTAAAAAATGCGCCTGATAATATTATTATATGCATTGCTAAATAGCAGAATAATGCTGTCCAACCAAACATGATTCTACCTGGAATTTTAGAGACAACCCTGTATGATTCGTAAAAAATAATGATTGCTTATTGTTTTTGCCCAAAATATTGAATTATATCTAAATCGATATTTTCCATGGTCCCTAATCTGATGTGCGTCTGAGGCACAACATATATTTAATAAAAATAACCTTTTGGTTTTATTTCTATTCCTTTTTATTAATTTTTATTATTTAATATAAGTTTTGTTACCTTTTAATTGTTTCACTTTTATCAGTTTCGCCAACCTTTACTAGTTTCGACACCTTTCAGCAGTTTCGCCACCTTTTGTTAGTTTCGTCAGTTTCGCCGTTTTGCCATTTCAAAATTTTTTTGACGAAAGACGAAACTAGGTTTCGCCTTTTGTCATGCCGAAACCTCTTAGGTTTCGTCTAACAACTATAAATATGACCTACATATATGACTTATGACAAGTTATATGATTATATGACTAAGGTCATATTAAAAAAAATGTTGACCTAGGTCATCGGCCAAGCACAAATCGATATATATAAGTTATATGATACCATATTATTATATATTAATCTAGGTATTAGGATATCACTATTAAATTAGGAAGTAATTATATTATAATGCTACCGCTACGTATAATTTATAATTCTTGGCATGCCTTTGGGGTCTTCTTGCGTCCCCTTTAAAGCCTATAAAACCCATTTATACTCTTTTATTAGCAACCCTAATCCTAAATCCTAACCTTAACCCTAAAAAAATCCTAAAAAAATGCACCCCCAAAATTTTTTAAAATTTCATATTAAAATCATTTTAATCGGATTTCGCCACAGTTAACAAATGACGTCACGTCATTATAAAATTTCATACCTGATATAAGGCGACGATCAATGCTGGTTTTTACTTAATAAAAATTCCGAGAAATCGCCGCGAGATTTTTTTAAAACTTTATTCTAATTTTGTAAAAGTGATCTACGGGAAGGGTTCTTTTGATTGGATTTTTTGTTAAAAATTTATTATAATCTTAAGTTTATAGGACTTATATAATTGAAGCTTTATTTTAAAAAAGTTCAAAGATTTATTAAAAAATAGATGAAAGAATTGCTTTTATATATGTATTTTTTACATAATATTTCAATTCTGCTTATAACAGCCACAAATTAATGTTTTAACAGCATACTACACACATTACGACATCATAGAAAAATGTTTTTGTCTACGAACTTAGCTCAGTCTTTTATCCTTCTTAGAGCTTCGTCTTTTATTAGAGTTCCGAAGACTTCTCTTTCCACGGAAGCTTCGTCTTTCACCAAGGGTTTCGTTTTTCGTCAGAGGATTCGCTTTTCGCCAGGGGCTTCGTCTTTCACTAGGGGGCTTCGTATTTCGTCTTTTCCGGGTTAGGTTTTGTCTGTCTCATTTTACATAAAAAGTTTCGTTTACATTTATTATATTTATATTTAATGATTCATTAATGTTTTTATAGAACGTTTACGTACTGCTTGGAATAAAACTGAAATTAAATATTATCCTATACCTGTGGGCATTGGTATTGCTGTAATTGTATTTCAAACTTTACACCATAAATATAAAGAACATGAAGCAATTAAAAACAAAGATCAAGCAGTTACAGATCAAGTAATTAAACGTACCACTAGTGGTCCCTGGCAGGTAAAAAAAAAAATTAAATTATTTTTGATTTTTAATTTTTAATTTTTTTTAATTTATTATCTTTATTAATTGATTTCTTATTTAGGTTCATGTCTTAGACACTATTCCACTTAGAGCATTATCTAGATTATGGGGAAAATTTAATAATGATTATAATTTACCTGTTTGGATGAGAGAACCTTTTTATAAATTTTATAGTTGGTTGTTTAATTGTAATTTGGATGAAATAGAAAATTCAGATCTTAAGACCTATCCAAATTTAGGATCATTTTTTTATAGATCATTAAAACCTGGTTTACGACAAATAGATGAAGCCATTCTAGTAAATTATTTTTTTCGATGTTTCAAAATAATTCAAATATATATTATTCATATATATATTTTTTATATTCTTACTCGATTTAATATATATTTTTAGGTATCACCAGCTGATGGTAGAATTCTTAGTTTCGGTTTAGTAAATGATGAAAAAGTAGAACAAATAAAAGGAAATAGTTATTCTTTAAGTGCTCTGTTAGGTCATAATAATACAAATAATTTTTCTGAATTAGAAACAGTTAATGTAACTAAAACATCAAATATTGTTGATGAAAAAGAATTTGCAAACATCAATGGTATTACATATTCTTTGGATTCTTTATTAGGTGATGAATCAGAAATGGTTACAAAACAAGAGAGCTCTATTGAAATAGATATAACTAAATTTGATGAACATAAAAAAAAAGAACAAGTTATTTCAAAAGATGTAACAAAAATTTCACCTAATAATCTTCATAAATGGCATGTAATTAAAAGTGGAAATGGTCTTTTCTTTTGTGTTATTTATCTTGCACCTGGTGATTATCACAGATTTCATTCTCCAACAAATTGGGTTGTTGAATCAAGGCGTCATTTTGCGGGTATGTTTAAAATTCATAATTAAAATTTCAATTTATAATTTATTTATTATTATTTATTATTATTAATCATTTTCGTTTATTTAGGTGAATTATTCTCTGTATCTCCATATATGTTAAAACTGTTGCCAGAATTATTTGTTTTGAACGAACGGGTTGCATTACTAGGAAGATGGAGATATGGTTTTTTTGCAATGATTCCAGTTGGTGCTACTAATGTTGGTTCAATCAAGATTAATTTTGATCCGGTACAGTATTAAATTATTTTTTATAAGATCAATATGATTATTTTTATTTTATTCATAATTTACAATTATCTTTTAGGTTCTTCGTACGAATCAGAAAGAAGGTCTTGCTGTTGGAACATATACAGAAATGTCTTATAAAAATGCTAGTAAATTATTAGGTGGTCAACCATTAAGTATTGGTGAAGAAATTGGTGGATTTCGTATGGGTTCTACCATTGTACTAATATTTGAAGCACCATTGAATTTTAAATTTTGTGTCTCACCAGAACAAAAAATTAATTTTGGTCGAAAGTTAGGACAAAATGACATTTGAAATGCAATAAAATACTTGTCGGAAAACTGTTTTTATTAATTTTTCGATAAACAAGTCACTTTCATTATAGTGAAGTGATCCGTTCTATTAATAAAAATTTTTTTAAAAATTCAATATACCAAGAGCTTTATTAATAAATTCACTGAATCGAGAGAATTTTATATAGAATGGCTTTGAGCTTAACTTCACTATATCGAGATTTTAATTAGTCTTCATTATATCGAGAGTTCACTATATAACGAGAGTGAATTGTTGAACTTATCTCTTTGTTTATTAAGAAACCGATTAAAATTTAGTAATATAGTTTCAAAATGTTAAAGAACATATATTAAAATAATTTTATTTCAATTTCTCAATTTCTAATATTAAAATAATTTATTTCAATTCTCAATTTCCTTTGGTAAAACTGGTTGAATTTTTTCATATTCTTTTCGTAACATAATTTGCTTGTCATGTTCTAACTGGTTTTGCTTCAATTTTTCAAATTTACGTTCTTTATCTCTTATTATTCCCGCGTGCATAACCTTATAAATTGATAATTAGACGTGATTAAATTATAATAAACAATTTATAAATATCTACCTCTTTTTCTTTTTTTTGGAGATAATGAACACCAAATATAGTTCCTGTCGATAAAATTATCACGGATACTAATGTTACTTTAGCGATTCGTGACATATGTATTAAATGTACAAGAACTTTTTTTTTTTTTTTAAACAAGAAAAAAGGATGATTGTTGCGCAATACTGATCAACATTGCTAATCACCGACCAATTAAATTTTCATTTGGAAAAACTTAAAGATATTTTTAAACTTATTCTTTAAACTAAAGATTGGATCCGTTGAGAACATCTTTACCGGGGTAATTTACTACCCGCGTCTAATCCTTATTTTAAACGAATTATTTAGAATTTTGTAAAAGTATTTGCATTTTTTAATAATTCAATAATATACTGTATTATATAAAATATATTCTATTAATAACTAAGAAAAATTTTTATTTTTATTAAGTTTTTAAACTTAAAATTATGTTTAAAAAAAATTTTAAAATTAAATTTTTTAGAATTTATATTTTTAAAGTTAAGAGAATTTTACTTTTTAATATGGAGTTCAAATTTTTACAATTAGAGTGGCTGTGAAAATTTTATTTGAAGAAAAGAGTTAAATATTTTGGTAATGCCTTATTTAGAGATAATGTTGGATGTATTAAGACTAAAACTTTATAATATATTTATACTGTATTTACTATATAAATATTATTAACTAAATATTATAATATGAGATTTATTTATTAATTACAACATATAAGTTGAGTAGCCCTAAAAATTTGATAAAGGCTATGCATCTTAAACTTGAAGCAATAGTTACTGATTATGTAAATAGTAAGATCGTTTAGAACTCAAAAATTCTTCATACACCTATAGTAGTTAAGGTGAATGTCAAAAGTGATCATAATCGTGGTACTCAAAGCAAATTTGACGCGACACAATACAAACATGACTGAAAATAACGCGATGATTCAAAAATAGGCAGCTTATGGTGTAAAAATAATGTATTGAACGTCTTTGCTGTGTGGATGGTCACCAAAAAATATAGATGGCACTTGAGTAAATGCTGTTTAATTTTGTTGTTTTTTCTTTTAATCAGTATCATGATATATAACATGTCAAATTATGATTCCAAATAACTTATCGTTATGTTAATTTTACTAACATGAATTCCAAAGCGACGTATAACATATATATTTTAAGTGCTAATATACTCAATGATGACACTTTGTCGATAGAAACGCGGCTTCTCATTATAGCATTTTTTGCAAAAATTTACCAACTACATTATAATATAAAACATTTTTCTACGAATTTGATCGATTTACACAATAAAAATTTTGCTACTTTTTATTGGGATTAAGGCTGCCGGCCGTAAGTAATAATTACGGACATTATGAATTACAACCTGGGTTGCAACCCTAATTACAACTACAAGTCACTCTCGTTATAGTGAACTCTCGATATAGTGAAGACTAATTAAAATCTCGATATAGTGAAGTTAAGC